ATCATATTACCTACCACCGGCCACGGCAGATGGCAGATCGGGTTTGATTAGGTGATATAGGGTGGCGGTGATGGCTTTACGTGAGAAGCTCGGTCGAGAGGCTTGGGCGTTGTTGTGCGCTTGGCGCTGTGATCGTGCGCGTCATGGCGGCCCCAGCGTGGTCATGTCTCCATAAGACCGGGAGGGGCACAATCGGTCATTAGAAGATGCACGTCTTGCCGTAGTACAGGTTGGTGTTGCGGACGTCGTACACATCTGAGGGGTAGTACTCGTCGGTGGCGGCCAGATCGGCGGCAGAGGCTGCTGCCGAGGATTGGGCCGAGGGTTGGGCCGAGGGTGCGACAGAAGGCTTTACAGCAGACTGACTTGCCCTGCCCTCGTCCTGCTCGCGCTTGGCGTGGAAGCCGTATGGGTCTGTGAGCAGCAGCGTGCCGCCGGCGGTGACCACGCCCGAGGTAACGGCCAGCGGGCCGGTGTAGGCTTCTCCCGACAGCTCGGCCTCCTTGTCGCCATCGTCATCGACCAGCAGCCTCTGTGTTGTTGCCGACATCTCTCCCGTGGCCAGCTCCACCTGTAGCCGACGAGTCACCGCATACTGGTACGGCTCGGACATGAGTGCGGGGGCGAGGGGGAAGGGGTGAGGTCTGGTCCCGCAGCCGACCACCACCACCAGCAACGATATGATCGATCGTTGCATTCGTTCGACGTTTGTTCGTGGCATCGGTTCGTTCGTTTGTTCGTTGCGTTCGTTCGTTCATTCGTTCGTTCGTTTCCTCCTTTGTTCGTTCGTTGCGTTCGTTCGTCGCGTTCGTTTCGCTGGCTTGCTTGCTTGGCCGTTGCAGTTGCTGATCTCCTGGAAAACCATCCGACTCAAATCAATTCAAAAATTTTGGACGGCGCCATGGCCAGTGCACAAGCTCCCCCTACCCCCAGCCGGCCCACGGGCAAGGCAGCAAGCAGCACTGGCGCAAATGTGACGTGTGAGGGCTTGTTCGCCTTCCACGAGACGACCCCGTCCAAGGACATCCGCAAGTCCGCCGCCTACTACTCGCTCTTCAGAGTCTACCGCGAACTGCCGGGCAACGGGACGCCACTGCGCGCGCTCTCGCCCATGCGGACGTCGCAGACGGCAGAGCCGGCGACTCCGACCTCCATGCAGATTTGGGGCTCTCACATCCGCCGCATGCAGGCGCAGTCGGTCTATGCAGCTGCAACCTCGGACAAGGAGAACAGCACCCCGGCAAAGCCGCCGCCGTGCCCCTCGTTCACCTCGCCGGCAAAGCCGCTTGCCCCGCTCGCGGCGCCGGCCGCCCCGCTCGCTCCAATCTTGGTCAACGCACCCGCCGAGCCGGCAGATGCTCCTCAGTCGACCTATCCATCCAAATCGCATGCCCATACGCTCGCTCCGCCTACTCCGCCCTCGTACGCCTTGGCCTATGAGCAGTCGCTGCCGCACTACGGCGTCTCGTACGCGTCCCACTACTCGATGGCCCACGCTCAGCCGATGTACCAGCCCCCGGTCCAGCAGCACCACCCGCACCACCCGCATCAGCAGCACCAGCAGGCGTACAATCAGGGCTATGGCTACTATGGCCACCCTGCTGCCATGGCTGCCGCGGCACAGGCTCAGGCCGCGGCACAGGCTCAGGCCGCAGCAAAGACCCAGGCCGCGGCACAGGCGCAGGCCGCGGCACAGGCGCAGGCTCACGCAAAGGCGCAAGCACACGCCCAGGCCCAGGCCCAGGTCGTCTTTGACAACTCGATGGCCAAGCTCCAGATGCAGCAGCAGCAGCGGCTCGCCCAGCTCCAGGCCCAGCAGCAGGAGCAGGATCGCGAGCAGGACCGTGAGCAGCAGGAGCTCGACCAGCAGACCTCGCGGCCGTGTCGTTTCTTTGCCCGTGGCAACTGCAAGTGGGGCAACCAGTGCATGTTTGCGCACGATGCCGTGCTCGCCGGTTCCGACTCGGCGCCGCTTGCCGCCCTCCGCACCCTCGCCAGCGAGCCCGGTAAGATCGCACAGCTCTCGCGCGATATTGTCGGCTGCAAGACCCTGCAGCAGGTGCTTGAGGCCTCAGGTTCCCCGGGCCTTGCCATTCTGCTGCCCATGGTCGAGCCCGAGTTTCCGGAGCTCATGGGCCATCCCGCCGGCAACTACCTCTGCCAAAAGGTGCTCGAGCTGGCCGAGCCGGCTATCCGCCTTCGCCTCATGCGTGCCACCCGCGGCGCGCTTGCCCGCTGCGCCATGGAGACGCACGGGACGCGGACTGTGCAGAAGATGGTTGAGACGGCAACAACCCGCGAGGAGATCGACCTGCTCCGCGCCTCCTTTGAGAGCGTCGTGGTCGACCTCATGACTTCGCCGCACGGCAACCACGTGCTGCAGCGCGTGCTCTCGCACTTTCCGCACCCCGACTCGGCATGGGTCCACGCCGCCGCACACACACACCTGCTGCACGTCGGCCGGCATCGCCATGGCTGCTGTGTCATCCAGCGCTCGCTCGACTACGGCACGCCCGAGCTGCGGACCTCACTCGCCGCCGCCGTCATCGACGCTACCCTTGCTCTCGCCAATGACCCGTATGGCAACTACGTTGTCCAGTACGTCCTCGATTCGGGCGAGCAGCGTCTCGCAGACGCCATCGCCGCCCGCCTCCAGCCGGCCGTCGCAGACCTAGCCACACGCAAGTTTGCCTCCAACGTCATCGAAAAGTCGCTCAAGGCCACCTCGCACCGCGGCCGTGCCAACCTCATGGCCGGCCTCGTCTCCGGCTCCACACTCACCACCCTCATCCACGACTCGTATGGCAACTATGTTATCCAGACCGCTCTCTCGGTCATGCGCGGCAAGATGCGCGCGGCTCTCGTCTCGGCTCTCCGCGCCGTCGCCGACGAGCTGCAGGCCTCGCAGTATGGCAAGCGGATCGTGGCCAAGATGAACGCGTAAACATGACTGTATCTCTCATCAACTGAAGCCGAGCAAGACTCGCGTCACTTCGTTTGCGGCACAGAGAGTAGCAGCGACCCGCACTCGGCCTCGTGCTCGCAACTTCCATCGCTACTGCCACTACCAGTCCGCATCAGGCCGGGTGAGAGCAGCTCTTCGTTGGACCGTGACGGCCGCGACATGGCCCGCCGGCGGTTTGCCGACGGTGATAGGTCGGTCCGAGTCGGGAGCGAGACTAGCGACCGCCGCCGCTCGCGCAAATACGATCTGCGGACCGAGTTGAGGGCCCGAAAGTGCGGCGACCGTCGTGTCTGCTCCAACTTTTCTATCAGCTTGGCCGTGAGCATGGACCGGACCCGCGACCGTGACCGCGGCTGCGACCCGTCGCTGCCAGCCACCGAGCCCGCATCCGAGTCAGAGGTCGAGAAAGAGGTCGACGTCAGCTCATCGTCCGAGTCGAGTGTCGTCGACGACGCCGTCGACAGCGTGCCGGTCCCAAGGCTTGTCGCTGGCGACCGCTGCCGCTGCCGTGGAGAGTGTGGCAGTCGCGACGAGAGCCGCGGCGAGAGCATCGGACGCTGCCCAGCGTCCTCGGCCGCCAGGCCTGCCAGCAGCGGCGTGGTCTCGACCTCGCTTGCGTCGGCGAGGTGCTCGCGGAGCGAATCGATTAGCTCTTGCGACGAGTGTGTGCGCTTCAGCAGCCGCTCCGCTCGCCGCGCCCTCGCCTCGCCCAAGTCCTCTGTGAGCAGAATGTGGGCGAGCCTGCCAGCGAGCGGCGCAAACGCGCGCTCGCGGTCGGTCTCCGAGTGCTCGGCAACCGCAAAGTAGTCAGCGGGCGTGCGGACATACGGGTGCCCGGCGGCGTCAAGCGGGGAGAACGCGCCCACCAGCGGCGAAGTCTCGCCGGCCGCGAGGCCGACGCAGATGCTCGGCACGTCAACCGCATCAAGAGCCGCCGCCATCGGATGGCTGCGTGCGTCTGGCATCGCGTGCCCAACAGCCTCGTCCGGAAACTCGGGCAAATAAAGCGCTTCAGGCACGCATGCCATCATCCGCGTCCGGACTTCGGGGCGACTGAGAAGCTCGTCGGCCGACGGCCGCTCCGCTGGATCCTTGCAGAGCAACTCCTCGACGAGGCTGGCGAGTGCTGGAGGTGCAGCCTTGCGTGGGACCACCGCCGGCTCGTGCTTGATCACTCGGCGGAGGGCCCGCATCGAGCTGGCTTCAAAAGGGAAGCGAAGAGTGAGCATGCGAAAGAGAACCACGCCGAGCGCCCACATGTCGCGCTTGGCGGCGGCAGCCGGTGCCCGCGGCGACGCTCCGCCAAAGAACTCGGGCGCCAGATAGTACGGTGTGCCAAAGCGCGGCAGCGCGCTGACCTGGTCATCGTCATCGATGTCGGTCTGCGCCACAGAAATGCCGAAGTCGCCGAGCTTGACGTGCCCGTCGCCAGTGAGGAACACGTTCTCGGCCTTGATGTCGCGGTGGATGATGCCACGGGTGTGGATGTGTCGGGCCGCAAGCAGCAGTTCGATCGCCCACATCCACACCACGTCAGCATCCAGTCTTCCACCCGCGACCCGCGTCGACTCGACCAACGACTCGACATCGCCCGAGAGCGCAGCCTCCATGACAATGACCAGGTCGTCGTCCTCGACCCACGACTCGCGGAGGTCCACAATCGTCGCGCAATGCATGGCGCCAAGGACTGTGACTTCGGCCATGGCATGCATCAGCTCTTGCGCCGAAAAAGAGCCCACATCGATGACCTTCATGCAGTAGACCTCGCCATCACTGCCGCCGTCGCCGCCGTGGTTGTCGACGGCCGCCGCACGAGCCGCTGCATCATCGCTGCCGGCCAGTGCCACCAGTAGCACCACTCCGTACTGCCCAGCGCCAAGCACCGCCCGCCGCTCGTAAGGCCCGTGGACAGGTACCTCGTCCAGAGAGGTCCAGCGGGCGCGAGGCGGAATGGACGGGCGAGAGGCCGAACCCACGCCGTCACCACCGGCGACAGCTGCCGACGCCTTGGCTGCCGAATGCGAGACAAAGTTGAGGCCCTGAGGCACAATGCGAGTTGTTGGTGCCGCCGCAACAGCAAGCGCCTCCTTCTTGGAGCTCGTTCCGCCCATCGACCCGCCCTCTCTCGCCACGTGGTGCGGCGGCCTTCCGAGAACCAACCGGATGCGAGTGAGCTGCCACTCCCGCACCCGCTAACAAATACCAATGCCGCTTTCAGGTTTAGGCCGCCGGCCAGTCTGCCGGACTCGGCCAAGGCAAGCGTACCGCGGCCAATTGAGAGGAAGAGGCATATATTGACGGGGAGAGAGGGGGAGGAAGAAGATGGAGGAGCGTCGGAGGGAAGGGTGCGATTGCAATTGCACGCTCAGGTGGACGTGGCCAGGAGCTCGGCGACGACCTCGCGCGCAACCGCGCACAGCTCGTCGGCGCGGAACCAGCCGGAACGGAGAAGGTGATGACCCGCCACCAGCGTCCAGTGGCGCACGAGATGATCGTGGCGAGACTTACCCGACGGATGGTGTGGCCAGGCCCAGAGCTGGAAGCCGTGGACGGTAAATCCAGTCAGATCAGCCACGGAAGGCGGCTCGTCGCCGGCAAGCGGCTCGATGTCGTCGCTGGAGAGCTGCCGATCCGGCACAACAGCTGCCTCGCCGTCGTCATCACCCGGCGCGGTGATCATAAGGTAGTCTGCATCACTGTAGAACTTTGATAGGCGGACCATCTCCTTAAAGAGGTTCGGATAGGCGGCGGTAGCCCGGAGAACAGTCTTCACCTCTTCGATGGTGCACCAGCCTGAGATAACCTTCCGGCTCCTTCCCCTGCGGCCCGTGAAGAACGTGGTGCGCACAACCATGTCGCCATCGACCTTGATCCAACCAAGGGAGCGGTCGATTGACACCTTGCACATGTTCTTGCTCACGGTCTCGGTCAACTCGCTGCGGATATCCTTCGCCAAACCTCGCGGAGCTTCCTCCCGGAACGGTTTGCGGTACCGTCCCTTGCGAGCGCCCATCAGCATGGCGATGGACACGGCCTGGCCGTAGAAATGCGCCTTTACTGCCATTGGCTGAGTTGCGCAGAGGGGTGTACAGGGATAGGGGTCCGGCCGCCCGGTAGAGTACTGTTCTGTAGTGGGGGCGTGGTCGGCAACAACGTCACACTTTCATGCCGAGGGCACACATAGTTTGATGGGCGGGTCCAAGACACGACGGGGCGCAGAGATCGCGGGCGAAGCACCCAGCATGCTAAAGGCCCACCCACCACGGATCAAGGGTGCGGCCGAGAACAATCGATATGGTGTTGGAGATGAGTTCTGCGGACGGGAGCGGCGAGTAGAATCCGGTGATGCCGTGGATGGACCTGCCCGAAGCTGCGAGGCGCGGGAGCGGAACGCGCGCCTTGCGCACAGCGGCCGGTGGAAGAGCGGCGCCGACGTCAGCCGGCGAGACATCGCAGAGCCAGGAACGCGAGGCGAGAACGTCAAACGGAGTGCGAAGGAGGGCGACGGCGGCGGCAAGAAGGACGCGCCCGCCGACGGTCGACGGGAACAGGTCGAGGTACGGCAGGGTGTGCGGGATGGCGGCGATGGCGGCAGAGGCCATGGCTGCCGGCACGCCTGTAAAGAGAGCGCCATCAGCAACAACCTTGCACGCAACACGAACGAGTGCCACCAGCGAGTCTGTGGGGAGGTAGGCGAACCACGACGGCTCGCGGACGGTGGCATCCTCGGGCGGCGCGAGCTCCGCCGCGCTCGGCAGGAGTGTCTGGTAGCGGACTCGGATGTGGCGGAGCGGAGTGAGAAGCACGCCACGGACGAGAACTACTCCGATGACGCCGACGACTGCCCAGTCGGCGTTGGTCGTCACCTTGACCGTCTCCACGGGGAGAAGAGCATGCTGCCGAGGACGATGGAGAGCCTGTGCTCGAGAATGTTGATAAAGGCGAGCTCGGTAAGGCGAAGACCGAGTCCGCGAGAGAGCGACTCGACCCATGAGCCGCACTTGCGGGCGAGCAGCTTGTGGATGCGGAGCCAGGTCTGGCTCCGCACATCGACGGCGGTCTCGCCGGCCTCGGCAGCGGCCTCAGCAGCAGCGCGGGCTTGTGCCGCACGCAGCGGGCTCTCCGGGGCGGTAGCAGCGCCATCATCGGCAGCAACCGGTGCTGGGTACGAGAGCACATGGGCAGCGAGGTGGAAGGTCCGATCAAGGGCGTGGGTGGCGACCACGAGGGCCAGAGGCAGCGGGAGGTGGTCGGCGGCAAGAGCAGCCGTGGCCGAAGCGGCCACTGCCGAGAAGGCCGGGGCCAACGCAGCGAGGTTGCCCCGCGTCGCCTCGAAGGTCACCATGCCTGGAGAAGAGGGTGGCAGAGATGACATGAGGGGGC